AGAATGTTTATTCTAACTATGTCTACCAGTCACATTGTAAGTAAAAATAGTGTTAGATGAGAACAACACATTGCTTATTTAGTAAAGGATTAACAAATGTATGGCGTAAGACAATATCTTAGTATTCCCTCTATTTCTTTATATATGATATTTTAGAATTTTTTTTTTTCCATATATAAGATGTTCTTATATTTCTATATATCTTTGGGACAATTACAAAAATGTCACTTTTTGTGTGCACATTTGCAAGAATGCCACTTAGGGATGTCCATTTAGAAAAATGTCACTAATTATAGATTTATAAAGCCTATATCTTAAAATTCTAAACCCTAAAAAATGTTTTGACACCTAAAACCCCCTAAATACTCAAAAATAAACCCTAATAGAACATAATTAACCCAAACATAAATAATATAAAGAAAAAATAATTTTGAAAAAGTGGCATTTTTGTAAAGATTTTAAAAGTGTGGCATTTTTGTAAAGTGGCACTTGAAAAGTGACAATTTTTTGAAATTTTTCTATATTCTTTTACTTTTGTTGAATATTGTGTAGTCAGTAGTATTATGTAGTTTTTTTATAATTGATTGAATTGCTTTTTAATTAATATATTTATTTATACTTTTTGAAATAGAAGTTTTTTCTTAATTTATGCACTTTTTGCTATTTTATATAGAGAAAGGAAGGAGTATTAATTAACGAGAAAGATGTGAGAAGAAGATGTGTGTGAGCTTTGGAGAACAGATCAAAGTGAAGTCAGACTCATCGCGGCCACATTTTTCTGTGCGTTCTTCATCAGATTTAGATTAGTAACTAACTTTTTTTACTTCATTCAATAATGCGTTATATCTATTATCATCATAATCCTTTTTAATAAATAATAGTTTTAATCCATGACACGAGATTTTTTTTTTAAAATTCATTAACTAAACTTTACTTCAGAATTTTTTTATTGATTGTTTTGGTTGCGGAGTTTATTCATTAAAATCTCATAATTAATAAGTTTTTTTTGAATTGGATATTTGAGGAATTTATCTTTTGTTAAATTCGGATTTTCTCTTCTTCTTTTTTTGAATGAGTCATTATTCTGTATGGTGTGGAAATATATAGACACGGAAAATATGTCAGTCACATTCATTAGCATAGATGAAAAAAGTTAGGAGGTAGAGATGAAACATAAAAGAAATGCTGAAGTACCATATCATCATCATAGATAAGAAATAAATTTTTGCTTTTTTCCTTGTTGATTGTTTCTCCTTTGCGGGTTACGTTCAGCATTTTTAAGAAGTGCAACACGCTGATTTTTGCGTAGCTTGCGATGTTCCAGCAGACTGGCCCGCTTGGTTGATCTTGATTGTTTGTGGCTGCAAAAGCAACACAGAAGATTCAGAATGGTAGATCATGAACACAATGCATCTAGGTTAACGAATTGGGATTAGGGTAGTGTATGACTAATCTTGCTCCTAACATATACTACACTAGACATAAGATAGGTTCTCAGAAATACATTTTTGTTTTGGTTCCTATACACGAACTGCTTATACTTTTGAGCATCGGTGAAGGAATACTACTGAAGCCTAAGTGTACCTCATGATAAGAGGGTGGAAGTAAAGTATAAAGCTAAGGAGTTCATTGATACAAACCTCAGCTCTGGCATCGGTATCTGCAAGTCTTTGCTTAATATCTTTACCAATTGAAAAGAAAACTTCCTCCACATTCAAATTTGTCTTGGCACTCTGTAAGAGAAACCCATCAACATCAGCCGATGAAATGAATCAACGTTTGCTTATATTTGCAAACAATAACAATACCAAGAGCCATGACATACGGTCTCAAAAAACTTGATTCCATATTCATCTGCAAGAGCTTGACCCTTGGATTTTGGCACAGCCTGGAAGTGAGAAACAAAGTGTTGTCTTACAAAAACAAAACCATGTGAAAAACAAGAAGGAAAATACTACACATGGAGGGAGAAGGTGGAGATACTCTTTTGCTTTCGTCCATATCAGCCTTGTTCCCCACTAGAATCTTGTTGACATTGTCAGAAGCGTGTTGCTCAATGTTACGGATCCAATTCCTTATGTCTACACATAGTAAAACGAATTCATAGAACAGAATGAATCATAGTTAGTAGATATGTTGCAAAGATTCTTCTGCTATTGACTAATTAAATTTGTGATCTAAGAGTAAAGAAAATAGTTACTGTTAAAAGATGATTCATCTGTAACATCATACACAAGTAAAATTCCCATGGCTCCCCTGTAGTATGCTGCATTAAGATCAAACCACTTGGCGATTATTTCCAGATTCCCACAATAATAAAGAAGGAATACATCCATAAGTGACAGTAAAAGGGGCGAGAGAATATCTGAAATAAACCTGTTGTGATTGTACGAAACCGCTCCTGTCCAGCAGTATCCCAAATTTGCAGCTTAATCCTCTTCCCGTCCAGCTCAATGGTTCGTATCTTGAAATCAATACTGTGGAAATCCACAATTCGACTGAGTGAAAAAACAGAAAAACTAGCAGAGACCGGATTATGCAATAAAGACATACCCGATAGTCGTAATGAAGCTGGTGGTAAACGAGCCATCTGAGAAACGTAAGAGGAGGCAACTCTTTCCTACACCTGGTACATTGAAATAATAATTGGGAATGTGAGGGAAATAGATAAAGGAAAATGTAGAGAAAGCATAAACTTTCGAACAATCCAACAAAAATAGCGAAATGGTTACAGGCATTCCTATGGGACCAGAATCAATTCAGCCAATTTGTGTCAAGTACAGAGCAATGGTTATTATACACACAAAATTCAAACTAATGCTTGTAAATTAAACAGCATATGCATATGCTCACTCACAAATGCCAAAAAAATGGCGCAGAAACTACCATCGAAGGCGAACAATAAAACTCAAGAATCTTCTATAAGAAACCATCAAGAAAAAGCTCAGCAAAACTCATATATCTGTACTAAAACTCCATTAAGACGAATAGTATCAAAAACTCAAATAACTTGGTTCCTTGATCCTTTGAGTGAATACTATACATATCGAAAAAGGACCAAAAACTACAAGCATCAACAAAAAAACCTAAGAAAACTAATAGACTCTCTAAATTACACAGGAAAACTCGTCGTAGTGATGATGATTGATTTCGAGTGAGGAAAAATTACCGCTGTCTCCAATCAAGAGAAGCTTTATGAGGTAATCGTAATCAGCTCGAGCTCTAGTAGGAGGAGTAGCCATCGCGTAACACAAAAATCAAGCAAATCTCTCTGCGAAGAAAAACAAAATCACAAAAACGAGTTCGATGAAATTCAAATCGGAAATCAAGGAAACAAAAACCCTACAAATCGAAATGGGAGAGATGTACCACCACTCGATCTGCTCGGAGGTGATTGAGCGTAAGAACGGAGTTCGTAAGCAAACCAATCGGCCGTTGAAAAGTGTTTTGTTTTTTGGTTCTCTCGTCGATCGAAATTCGAAGATTCGGAGATTTTTTTTTTCTTTAGGAAGAGGGAAGAAGAAGGATAGATCTGGACCGTTGGATCTTGTTCGTGCGTGATTTTCGGTTATTGTTTTATCGATTTTGTGTGTATCGTTTAATTGTTTTATCGGTTTATAGTATGGGAAACAAAATCAAAGTAAAAATAAGATTTCTCAAACAAACTTATGTATTTAGTTGTTGACTAATATGCGAGCATTACAGATAAGTTCATGGGAACGTCTTTGTTTATTTTAAAGAAGATATGATAATAGATTTGATTTTATTGACAACTTGATTCACTTTTTTTTGCTTTTAAGAGAGATGTTGAAATCTTGAATTTGTTTTTTTTTGTGGGATAATTATTAAACTAGTCTTGATAAATGTTTTTTTTTGATGATTTTGGTGTTTTTGTTTCATAATTACTCAAACACTCTTAAAAAAATTTAAACTCAGGTTTTGCTCTTATTTTCTTTGATAACAAAAAACGTATTTACGAAACTGCCATTAATGAGTTTCTCGCCAAAAACAAATAAGTCTACCGCTCACGTGATAGTAGATTTATTTAGTGGTTGGTAGATTTGTTTTTGAATGGTAGACTTATTGTTGAGTGATAGATTTATTTCGGTAGACTTATTTTTATGCAGTGGTAGATTTATTCCGATGTGATGGTAGATTAATTACTCGTGGTAGATTTAATTGCCTTCATGGTAGATTTAATTCGGATATAAATAAGTRTACCATCACGACYATCAATAAGTCTATGKMCGTCYTGATGGTAGARTTATTTATAGTGGCGGTAGATTTATATGATGTGGTAGACTTATTACMCTCCTTMGTAGATTTATATTTGTTGATCGGTAGACTTATTGATTGTTAGTGTTGGTAGACTTATTTTTAGTGGCGGTAGATTAATATTATGTGGTAGACTTGTTACTTTCCTTGGTAAATTTATTCAATGTTTGCAGGTCTTTACTATAACAAATCTACCAATCTTTGGTAAATCTACCATTATGATGGTAGACTTGTTTGACTATATTTAGTTACGATAGACTTGTTTAGTTTCGGATAAGCGTACTAGTAGATTTAAAAAATAAGCGGCATGGTAGACTTGTTTGTGGTAGGTGTAGACTTGTTTAGATTCGGCATGGTAGACTTGTTGTGGTAAGTGGTAGACTTGTTGCGAAATCTCTGTTTTGCCCTCAGACTCACCTTCAACGGTGAAGAACTAGGGTACCCGCCGCCATAGCTTGTTTTCTTCATTGACGAACCTCTTCTCTTGAATATCAAATACTTACCTCAACTTTTACTTCTTAAACTCGATATTTGGTTGATTTGCAATGGAACAAATAAGTTTGGTTTGTGGCAGTTGGAGTTTTCCGAAAAATCGATGGATCTTTTTTGTTGATAAGTCAAAAGGGTGTAGAGTTATAGGGGCAGATCATGCAACCTCGTATGACGAATTCCTTGCTATGGTGTACGAAGATTTTGGCCTGGATCAACGGTTTGTTGAGGTAAAGTTGAGTTACATGTGGGCAAAAAAGTATTTGGCAAAATTACCTCTAGATACACCACCAGTGTTTGTTAGGAATTCAAAACAATTGAGTGGATTTTTGCAACAATTTAAGATAGACCCAATTCGACTGTGCGTGGAGATCGTGGAGAATGAAGAAACAAATCCAAAAAAAGGTGATGGAATCGGCACAGATGAGGAAAACGCAACAAAAGCATGTGATGAACATGTTGAAGAGGATACCATGAATATAATTTTTATGTTCTTTTTAAAAAATTTTAGTTTAGACGAAAGTTATGATTGTGACAAAAAAAAAAGATGAAAATTGTGATTTTAATAAAAAATTTTTTTATAGTTTGGAGAGATTAATGTGATTTTGAAAATTTTAACTTGTTAGATTTACTAATCAGTGATCAAGAACAATTTATCAAAAAAAATTACGATTTGAATATTTTTTTAAATATAAAATTATGATAGGTTATTAAGTTTTAATTAGAAACTTTCAAATTGTAGATATATTTCGTAATTTTAGTTACTACAATATCAAATTTTAATTTATTATATTTATTTTGATTTTTCAGTAAATTTTCTTTTTTTTGATAAAAAATAAAAATCAATTTTTATTTTTGTAATTATCCAACCGCCTGCAACCGCAAACGCTCGAGGAAATGAGCTTTTGGATTTGAGAAGTTTGGAGCGACATAGAGCGGTATAAGGCATTTCCCTTGAAAAGCATGAAACAAAATAAGCTAAATAAAAATTTTGTGGCTTACCTGAAAAATGAGACGCAATAACATCACACCACTTTTTTACAATAATAAAGAGGT